CGTTGGGCCCCTGCACTTCGCGGGGCCATATGCCGCGATGATGCGCCGCTCGCGCGCAGCGGTCCACCGCTGTGCGTCGGTTGGCAAACGTGCTGCAGCACCGCGGGCACTGGTTAGCGACGATTACGGACGCCACCATTGGTCGCGCGTCGTGCGTCTCTCGGCGATGCCCAGCCAGCGCTGCATCGGTGGGAACTCTGTGCCCACATGCCATCCCCCGTCCCTGTTCGTCCTGTGTAACGCGATCATACCAGTACGGTTTGAATAGTTCCTCCTCGCCCCCCTCATCTGGCACCTCCTCCCTCCTAGTAAGAACGTCCCAATTTCGCTCGTGACTGCGCAGTGCCCTCTGGGTCCGCCTGGACCCAGTTGGAGCGCTCTGGGGCCCCCTGGTGCACTAAGGCTATATCCGAGCTCCTCGTCTCGAACCATCCCATGCTCTCGTCGATCCCTGCAAGTTCCCGGAGGTCTCCAAGATACTGATGGGCCCAAGGGGTAGAACAAGCGCCCGCCCACCTACCGCCCCTGGGTCGTTGTATTCCCCTTCTGTCGTCGAACTTTGATGCGCCGAATACTGCAGCCACTGCCGATCCGCGTTCCTTTAGACGTCTCGCCCAGTTCTGACGCCATCTACGCCGTCTGACTCTAAGGGCGATCGCTGTCCTCTCCAACCTCCAGTCTCTGAACACCTGAGCGTCAGTGTTACACCTTACCGTGCCGCCCTCTATCCCATGACATAGCCACCCCTGCCAAAGTCCTGAGATACTTCGCAAGCGCATTTCTCAGCGCATCTGCATGGGAACGCCTAAGTGTAAAAGGGGTAAGACCGCCAAGCGCCGCCCCTAGTACGAATGCCGTGAACATCATCCTCTTGATCTGTCGTGGTGTCTCAGATGCCCAGAAGGTGCCACATTGTCTCCGCGCAATCCGTACTGCTGCTTTACGTCGACTTACTTTGCCAGCTAGCCCTTGGCCTGCCGGTAAGTATGGCCCAAGTATTCCCATATCTATAAGGGCTGTCCCCTGAAGTGTTTGGCTTCGTCGAAGATGCCTGGTAGCCGCATGGCTTCCCGGTCTCGCCAGGCGTGCCAAGTGGTTGGCTTTCCCACTGTTGAGACCAGCCCCCTGTGGCCATTGTAGTGGCCAGCTTTGCCGTTGTTGTGTTCCGCTCATCCTCGGTTCTTTGTGGCGTAGACCTGCTGCAAAGTTGCGCGGCCTTGTAATGTCGCCCATAAATGCGTTGATTGCACGGTCGTATGTTGCTCCGTCTGCTGGATTGATGGCGTCGCGCAATTGCTGTTTTGGATCATTGCGTTCGCCCTCCCACCATTGCGCGACGCACGAGTTGCATGTGTCGCTAAATTGTCTCGGGCAAAGGGCGGGGCCCATCTGGGCTCCTGAAGCGCTGGCAACCTCGACTGGGCCGTCGGATGCTGTGAACGTGAGGGTAGAGCGTTCGATGGCTGCCATTGCAAACCTCTTGTCGTTGCATGGGCATGTTTAAACGCGACTGCTCGAAGGAGTGCCCTATTGGTGACGCGAGTGCGCTGGTACCGTCGTAGTTGGTAGTCACTGTGCTTATCCCTCCCTGCGTAGCCCTCCACTGCGCCGCGCACACACATATGATCGCATTCTCCCCACACCTGTGCGACAGGCCCCCCTGCGCCCGAGGGGGGGGGGGGGGGCTCTCCTCTCCTCGGCATACCAGGGTGCCAGGCCATGCCGAACGAATCGCACGCGCGCAATGTGCGTTTACCAGGGATCCCCTCCTCCTTCTTGTTGTTTTTTTTGCTGGGGCGGCCTGTGATCTGCGCCAGTCCAATGGCACAACCTGCGTCATCTTGCATTGCTCGTGTGGCTCGCCATCTTCGGTACTCCAATCCCTGCATGATCACTTCTTCCAACGTCATAGGATCGTGCTGCCCACAGTGGTAGCTGTCGCTCTGAGTCGTACTCCCCTCCACCTCTGCCCAGTGCCGTTCCCTCCTGCCATCCCATCTTCTGCATCAACTGCCGTCCCTTGCGAAACCGTCCTGTTGTAGTGTAGTGCGCCAAGTCCTCCTCGTCTCTCTCTCTCTCTCTCTCTCTCTCTCTCTCTCTCTCTCTCTCTCTCTCTCTCTTTCTCTCTCTCTCTTCTCTCTCTCTCTCTCTCTCTCTCTCTCTCTCTCTCTCTCTCTCTCTCTCTCTCTCTCTCCTCTCTCTTCTCTTTTAAAAAATATCTTCTCTCTCTCTCTCTCTCTTCTCTCTTTCTCTTCTCTTCTATCTATCTCTTTTCCGCTGCATCTTATCCCCCCCCCCCCCCCCTCCCCATCCTCTCACTCAACTCTGTCGGGTCTTCCAGATGCGAGGTGGGATCGAGGAGGAGCCAAGTCATCTCTGTGGGTAGTCCCCACTCTGGCCATGCCCGTCGCTTGCACGCTTACTTGCAGTACCGCAGCATGTCTGCCTTGTCCCTGTCCACCATCCCTCTGAGGTCGTGGTCGCAGGACACGCATTCCTCTACATACTCTGCACGCTCCCTGCGCGCGCTCGCTCGATCCAGAGGTACTGCGCGCAGTCCTCCCTCCAGTGCTGGACGGCTGAGTTCTTGCTCCCAGTACTCTTTGGGCCAACTTGTCCTGGGGGTGAGATAGCACCTCTTCTTCGGGCCTCGTCCGATCCTCTGGTACTGTATTCGTAGGCAATGCATCTCCGCAAAGTTCTGGCGCTCATTTGCCAACCACATTAGTTCAACTATCTTTGCTCTCCGATATCTTCTGTAATTTCTCTGGCTGCATTCAGAGCTGCCGTCACTTCTCTTAGTTCATTATGCACAAGATCGCACTCCCTCTCGTCACATTCGTCACACAGCCTCTCTCGCATCATACGCCTCCGTCGTAGCAGTTCAGGCCGGTACGCACGTGCTGTTTTGACTATTTGGTCGACCTCGTCCTGTGGGCGTGCTCCGAAAGTTCGATTCGTGGCTCGCCGTACTGCTCCCCGAATAAGTCCCAGGTGCTGTCTCGTGTGCTTTGTGCAAACGCTCCCTCCCATGCTGCCTCCCCCACCTGTCTGATTTCCGCGTCGATGGCGTCGAACAGCTCCGCCCTCTTGTGCCCCCTCCTCACGCACTCCATGAGACCGTCCCTGCACGGTCCCTGTTGTCGGGGTGCGGTCGGGGCTGGGGGGCGAGGGAGGTAGGGGGAGATGGTCAGGCCTAGTGGGGCGTGGCCACGGTGCCCTCTTGTTTTACTTGTTTGTAGTCGTTGTCCTGCTCCGTGTAATGGCGTGCGGTGCTCCACATTTCCCAGGAGCCCCGTGGGTGAAGCAATGTGGTGTATACGCTTGTGCGCCCAGAGTCGCCATTGTATGCAGGACCAATGTTATTGTGTGCGGTCGCTATGATCAAGTCGTTCCCTGCACACATCGTCCGTAAGCTCTATCCGTTGTAGTTCTCGAGCTTTGGGCACCTTTGCGCCTACTGTCGGGCCCTTACTACATACGACTCCCCCGTCTAGGTCTCTTTGGCACCCGAAGTCGCTGTTTACATCACCTCCCACTGTTATCGTCGCACGGCATCCTAATATGTCGATCCGCTCCTCTAGCCAGTGGCGGATGGAGTCCGCCAACTTGGGATCGCATTGCAAGTGGGCGGGGGCGTAGTAGGTGACACATAGGGCGTAGTCGAATTTTGCTGTCGTGAGTCGCACCCTCGCGACTCTCCCCTGCAAAGCTGTCGGTGGGTGGTAAGTGTCTCTCGCAACGTAAGGTCCTAGACCTTTGCTGCTACAATTGGCGACTCCACAACTTTTGTTGGTCCACTTCCCATTCTTGGCTCCGAGCTGGATGGCATCGTGATGAGACAGGATGTTACGTTGTGAAGTTCCTGTGCCCGCCCATCTACACGTGCCGCTGAGAAATATTACGTCACAACTCCGTAGTTCGCAACTGATGTCTTCTAGTCGTTCCAGGCTGGCCGCTTCCTTTGGGTTATACTAGCAAATACGCATAGTGATGCAAAAGAGGGCGAGAGCCATGGAAGCCCCCCAGGCCCTAGTGTTCCGCGGGCCTACGGGTGGGGTGGGGGGGCAAAGTCGCTGGTGTAAGTTTGTAAGTGAGGTTCGGTCGCTCTGAATCCTGACCTCCACCCAGCGGCCGAGGAGGAGGAGGAGGAGGAGGAGGAGGAGGAGGAGGAGGAGAGGGAGGAGGAGGAGGAGAGGAGGAGGAGGAGAGGAGGAGGAGGAGGAGGAGGAGAGAAGAGGAGGAGGATGAGAGGGAGAGGAGGAGGAGGAGGAGGAGGAAGGAGGAGGAGGAGGAGGGGAGGAGGAGAGGAGAGGAGGAGGATCTCAGGGAAGGGAGAGAGCACCGGCGGAACAAGCCGGATCGTCGGAGCCCTGGGGGCCTTGTAGCGGCCACTCCAGCGCACGAGCGCGCCGTCAAGGGCTTGGAAGAGCTGGGCGGCCACGACCTGGGGCGCCAGAAAGATACCATCACCGCCACTCCCCTCCCCACTCCCTCCCCCACCCCTCCCCCTCCTCCTCTCCTCCTCCTCCTCCTCCGCCTCCTCCTCCTCCTCCTCCTCATCATCAATCATCATCATCATCATCAGCAATCAGATCATCAGATCAGCATCAGCAGCACATCATCATCAACATCAGCATCATCAGCAACATCATCATCTTCATCATCAGCATCAGCATCATCATCATCATCATCATCATCATCATCATCATCATCATCATCATCATCATCATCATCATCATCATCATCATCATCATCATCATCATCATCATCATCATCGGCCTATTCGTCCTCCTCCTCCTCTTGCCTCACCCCTCCTCCCCCTTCGCCTCCTCCCCCTCCTCCTCTGACCAGACTTTCGCGGAGAGTCCAGCCGTGGCGACGAGAGCTCTCCAGGACGAGCAGCGGCGTCAGTATCTTACAGTGGAGGCCTTGGATAATGAAGCATTGGATAAGGATTCCAGGGTCCGGTAGCCGTTGGAACTCCAATCGTGGACTGGCCGTGGGTATCACCGCCGCCCTCATCAGAGAAGGAATCCCCTGGGGTCTAAAGCTTCCTGGGCACATTCCTGAACGAACGCTCCACCGTACCGCGGGTTCGCGTCGTGTCCACCACGGCGTTGGCTTCTGACACCGCGGGATCGTTCAACCTTGAACGATCGGCCGTTTCCGAAACGCCGGATCGTTCAAAATCGACCGAATCTGGGTCGCCAGCGGCATCCAACGTTGAACGCAGGCGGCGGGGCCGCCGCCGGTCGACACGATGCGAGCCTGCCGTATCGTCGCAGACATGCGACGTCCTGATTTTTTCAGGACGGCGCCCCTGGAAGTCCAGACCCTTTCCCCGGGGCCGGTATTTTTCATCCCGGATCTTTTTTGTTGACTGTCTCGGGGCCCGGTGAGGGCCCCCAGGGGCCGAAAATTGCGAAAAAACGTGCCGGCCTGCTTTTTCACCACGCGATCATGTCTGGGGTAATTCCCCCCTCCCCGGACGACCCTGGCGGACAGGGCGGGCGTGTCCTCTCGGGCAGCGGAGTCATACATACATTGTCCACAGCGCCCCCAGCCAGACCCACCACCCGGACCCAGCCGCGGCGTGTGTGCGCCACGCCCTCCTGGCGTGGCCAGGAGAGCGCACACACCGCTGCTGGGCTCAGGGCGGGCCTTGCCAGGGAGCAGTGGGTACGTGTCGCCGCGCCGTTTGCTTCGATCGCGCCAGAAGTAGAGTCAGAGGGGGCCCAGGGACACACAAATGAATACACACAGTTCCCAGGAAATTCCCCACGTTTCCCCATATTTCCTGGGCTTTCGTCTTCCGCCCCGCTTCCCATGTCTTCCCAGAAATTTCCTGGGAGCCGACGATTCATTGTGTGTGTGTGTGTGTTCTTCCCCCTCCTGAAGAAGGGGCGACGCCGACACCACGGCAAACCCACAGGGAGCCCCAGGGCCCCGCACCCCAAGTCGACGACGCCGGCACTGCGGAGAACCCACGGCGAGCCCCCCGCGCCCGAGGCGGCGCTCGCCCCGGTGGCCGCGGCGCCCTCCCGTGGGGCCGCGCGTCGGAACCAGCGGCGCGGCGCCCGAAAATACGCAACACCACCACCGCCACCTCCCCGAAGGATTGCAAAAAAACCCTCCCCGAAGGGTTTTTTTGCAAACCTCCCCGGTGTTTTTTTGCAATCCGAAGGGTTTTTTTGCAATCCTTTTTGCAGTACCTCCCTCCCCCAGGAGAGAGGAGGGGCGGAGGAGGCTGCTGCTGCTGCACGTCGGCCTGCGCGCCGGCATGCGCGGGCGGAGGAGGGCGGAGGAGGGCGGAGGAGGGCGGAGGAGGCGGAGGCGGAGGAGGGCGGAGGAGGGCGGAGGAGGGCGAGGGGGATGGAGACGGTGGTGGCGTAGATCCTCGGGGCCCGCAGTATTCGAGAGACTTCGTCGCCCGAGAGCTCCCCGGGCGCCGCGCACAGCGAGCGGCGCCATGGGGCCGCCGGCGCCGAGGCCGCGCTCCAGGACAGCAGCGACAGCTGCTCGGCGCTGGAACGGCCCTCGGCGTAGGGATCCGCGAGCCACACGAGCGTGCGGCCCGCGGCTCTCTCGTTGTGGAGCTCGTCCAGCACGAAGTTGACGTGCGGAGGACGGCCAGTCTTGAGTCGGGCAGGTCCCTCTACAGGAGGACTGTTCCAAGGTGGTCAAGAATAGTCTGGGGGCGATGCTTCGACTACTTCTGGGTATGTCGTCATCTGTTTTGACTACTGCTAACTTTTCGACCCAAATCCGCCTGCAGGAGGACGTGCCCGACCTAAGGCCAGTCCCAGGCATGCTCGCGGAAAGGTCTTCGGGCGCCTTCGGTGGCTCTCGGCGGCTTTTGCTCCAGCCCCGGGGTGCTCTCTGGCAGCTGCGCCTCGCCGAAGGCCTTCCAGGGGCGCCCGGACCGTCCGAAGCGGACGCCGGCGAGCCGAATTGGTCAGGCTCCCAGGGCGCACGCTTGCTCGCGTCGTGGAAAAGCATGACGGGAAGTTTTTGGCCGGTTTCGGCCTGCCCTCCTGGGGCCCCGGGACCGTCAAGAATTGCACTCCTGCTGAGAAACCATGCAGCCCTGGTCCCAAACCCCCGACGTCGTGACTTATTCGCAACGTCGACCCCCAGAGGTCTGGACCCCTTCCCCGGGACCAGTTTTTCCATCCTGAATCGTTTTTTGACAATCCCGGGGCCCGGTGAGGGCCCTCAGAAGCCGAAAATGGCGAAACATTTCCTTCGTGATGTTTTCTGACATGTCTGATTTTTCCTGACATGTCCCCTGAGATCCGACGTTGCCAAAAATTGCAACATCGCAAAAAAAAAACACGCCTGGAGACCCGGACCCATCTTTGTGCGTCATTTTTCACGCCGGAGCGAAAACGCCTGTCCCAAAAAATTTGCCACGCCAGGATCTCAGGGTCTTTGACCCCAGACCCTCTAGGGGGTCAGGGGTCCAAGAGTCGGGACTTCCAGGGGGCCAGCATTGAAGACAGGGGAGAGGGAGAGGGGGGGAGGGAGGGAGAGGGAGGGGGAGGAGCAGGAGGGAGGGGGAGAGGAACGGGGAGGGGGAGGAGGAGATGGAGAGAAGGAGAAGGAGAGGGAGGAGAAGGAGAGGAGGAGGAGAAAGGAGGAGGAGGGGAGGATTCTGAGGAGGAGAGGAAGATGGATGGAGGATGGAGGAAGAGGAGGAGGAGGAGGAGGAGGAGGAGGAGAGGAGGGAGGAGGAGATTCTTCTTCTTCTTCTTCTTCTTCTTCTTCTTCTTCTTTCTTCTTCTTCTTCTTCTTCTTCTCTTCTCTATTTCTTCTTGAGGAGGACGGGGGAGGAGGAGGAGGGAGGAGGAGGAGGAGGAGGAGGGAGGAGGAGGAGGTGGTGCCTGGCCCTCCTCCGAGATGTGCTTGAATATGAAGCCCTCGATCCTGCCGAGGGTCCCCAGGTCCGTGTCCAGCTGGTTCCAGGAGGCCTCGTACAGGGACGGCACCCACAACGGGCGAATGCCCAGCTGCGCGTGCCACCTGTGGACGAGCAGCGCGTTCAGGCTCTGGTCTATGAGGGGGAGGTGCGCGACGACCTCCAAAGAAAGACGCCACGCACATCGAGTAGGGGATCGACTACGGAATTGATTTACCCCATAGCTGATTTCCGCCGAATGAACGGGAAATGCGTCGAATGCTCTGTATTTCTACTGAGCATTCTGTAGATGCTTCGCCAGATCATCGGAAGCATCCACTCTGGGGTAAATCCATTATGTAGTCGACCCCCTACTCGAACACATAGGCTTAAATTTTCGGAGGTCCGCGCGGATGTCGGGCATCTGCGACGAAGTCGCGGCGCCCGAGACGCCGAGAGGGAAGCCCAGGACAATTTCGGTGGCAACTCGTGGGAGCCTCCCATACCATCTTGTCGGCTCTTGCGACGCGCAATCGACGCTCATCGACGCTAACCGACGCGAAATCGGAGCTACCTCATCGACTCCCAGACGCTAATCGACGCCAGTCGACGACAAAAGACGGAATCCGCCGACCCCTTGGGGATCATCGGCGTGTGAGATGCTTCCCCCTCCCCAAACACCTCCCCCCGGAGCCCGGTCTGGTCGATTTGGAGGGGGGGGGGGGGGCCGTGCGGCCAAAGCTCATCAAGGGGGTCCAGCTCTTCCCGGGCTCCCCGGAGCCCGGGCCGGTCGATTGGGGGCCGTCCGGCCCGAGCTCATCAGCTTAGGGGGGTCCGGCCCTTCCCGGGCTCCTTTTGGAGGTCCTCGACAGCTTCTGTGGCCGCCCAAGAGGCCCCCAAGACAGTCCAAGAGGGCCCCGAGACGCCGAAAGATCGTTCCAAGACGCCTAAGTGAGATGCTTCCCCCTCCCGACGGCCCAATAGGCTCCCAAGAAGCCCCCAACACGGCACAAGAGGCGTCCAAAACGACCCAAGAGGGCTCCAAGACGGCCCCAAGAGGGGCCCGAAAGGGGGACCACGAAACAAACATTCCAGCCGTCAGAGCCTAGAGGGTCCCAGGAGTCCACTCAGGGCCCTCATAACGTCCTAGACAGCCTCGGAGCCTCTCAAAGCCGTCCCAAAACAACCTAGGAAGCCCCCAAGCAGACTCAAGGTGCTGAAGAGGCCACCCAGCCACGTTGCCACGTTGCCACAAGCCCCGAAAGACATCCCACGGGACCCCATGACCCATCAGGGCGGCCTCGGACCCACGAACCAAGCACGATGGCGGGATGGCCCGAACGCAACAGATCGGAGGTTTGGGGGGTCTGACCGCAAGTGCCCCCAACCAAGAAATCGGTTTCGGTGTCAGTTCATGTCGTGCATGGGGTTCTCCCGATGGTTGTCCCGATGGTTGTCCGGATGGTTGTCCCGGTATTGCCTTACGAGACCCCAGGACCGTCGGAGATCGATCGGAGATGAAGAACTGCACCGGATGGACCACGGGAGCGGCCCTGGGCTGGACCCCTGAGGCCTCCAAGAGGCTTCCCCAAAAGACCCAAAGCACAAAGAGCGAAAAATATAGTTTCAGCAGGTTCGCCTTTTGACACCAGGAGGGCTCCAAAACGGCAAAAGGACCACCAGGAGAGCTCCAAGACGGACAGAGAGACTCCCAGTCGGCCAGACGGAGAACCGGAACGGACACTTCTAACCTTCAGCTACAAGACGCCCCCAACGTGCCCCAGGGACCCCCAGGAAGCCCCCCCAAAAAACAAAGGGGTCGGCGGTGTGGCGCAAGCCTGAGAATCACGAGAGCATGCCAGGCCCCCGTGATGTGCAGCCGAAGACCGTCGTGTGCGCGCGCCGTGCGTGCGGTGCTCCCCGCGGGGCCTCGAAGTCTGCCGCCTGGCGCGCCCACTCGCGCAGGAAGCGCGCGGTGCGGCGGTTCTTCCGCCAGACCGACCACGAGTGTCGGGTCGGGCGAAAGGGGGGGATAGCAAAGGGGGGGGTTGAGAATCAGCTCACGTAGCTGATTTCCCCGGCGCCTCCCGGCGCCGGAGGCGGCTATGTATCGAGGAATGGGCCCCTCGGTGGGGCCGAAACCAGCTGCATGCAGCAAATTTCGTAACCCCCCCCTTTCCCAATCCCCCCCTTTCGTCCGGCCCGAGAGTGCTGCAGGGTGGGGCGCTCCCAGAAGCCGCGGCAGCAGCCGGGCACGTCGCTGGGCGCGCACGCGCCCAGGCGGCACAGGGTGCCGCAGAACGAGTCGAAGGCGCGCTCCGGGTCTCGCGGCACGGGGCCACCCCCGGAGGGCGCCAGCCATGCATTACACACACACACACACATATATATATATACAAACACACACACACACTCACACACATCTAGATGTAGATACAGCTATACACGTAAATCTACACAAATATACATATAGACACTCATCGAACCATGTATCCGGATGTGCAGATGTACATGCATACATCTATACACACATATATATATATATATGCAGATACACATGTTTACACTCGCGTCGATGCTGCCCAGGAATCTGGGCCCAGGGTCGGTGCCGATGCCCTCCTCGCCAGGCCGGGCCAGGAGGGCGCACCGACCTGGCAGAACAGAAACAGGCATGAGCACAAGCTGCTGACTGTCCGCGCCGTGGTTCTTGGATCTGCGCTGGACCTCCGTCCCTGGCGCGCGGAGCGCGCCCGTGACTACCTACCAGACCACCCCAACCCAACCCGAAGACCCGAATTTCGGGTTGGGAGGGGTACGGGCTACACATGTGTGCTTTCTCGATGTTCCCCGACCCCCCCCCCCCTCTGGAAATGGAGGGCAAACTGAGGCCTTCGGGTTGGGTTGGGGTGGTTTGGTGGGTGGTGAGCCCGGCGCCGCCCCTGGGGGCCCCAGCTCGGATCCAGGAAATCCGCGCGGACCGCCAATGAGTTGTGCCCATGCCGTGTTCCTGGTGCTTCGTGGACACGCCGATTCTTGGCCCAGGATGGGCCTGGCCAGGATCGGCGCAGGCGTGTATAGCTGGAATGAGCGGGGCTGCGCTGGGCGCCCGCGCCCCCCGCGGGCCCTCCACAATCAAACAATCTGAATACTCCTCTCCTCTCTCCCCTGGTGGCGTCCAGGAAATGTCCGGCCTCCCTCCGCGTACTGGTTTTCTACGCATAAGATTCCCGGGTAACGGGTTTTCGCCTTGGTTGCTCTCACTGAACCGCCGGCCTCATTTTCGGGCTACCGCTCGTTCCGAATCGTGCTCCCGCTGCAGCGCTGGCCTCATTTCCGCGCTTCCGCTCGTTCCGAATCGTGCTTCCGCTGCAGCGCTGGCGTCATGATTGCCAGCGCCATGTCACGGCATGGTTTTCGGTATTCCCAACGGCCCCAAAATAGAGAAAATGCAACCCGAAAAAACCATCGGAAGTGATTGCACATTCGGTGCCGCTTCGTTAAATTTTTGGCCGCAGACGCCCCCCTCCCACTCTGGAGCGTCGCCACGCCATGCTATGTCAGGCTACGCGTCCTCATTTCCGCGCTTCCGTGCTTGGTTTTGTTGTTCAAAATGCTGCTCTCACTGAAGCGCCGGCCTCATCTTCAGGCTACCGCTCGTTCCGAGTCGTGCTCCCGCTGCAACGCTGGCCTCATTTCCGCGCTTCCGCTCGTTCCGCATCACGCTTCCGTGCAGCGCTGGCGTCATCATGATTGTCAGCGCCATGCCACGGCATGGTTTTCGGGCCTTCCAGAGGTCCCCAATATCTAGAAAATGCCCCCCCCCCCCCCCCGAAAAAACCATCAGAAGTGATTACACATTCGGTGCCGCCCCACTTTGGGGCGTCCCCACGCCATGCTATGTCAGGCCACGCGTCCTCACTTCCGCGCTTGCGCGCTTGGGTCTTTTTTCAAAATCCTGCTCTCGCTGAAGCGGCGGCCTCATTTTCGGGCTACCGCTCGTTCCGAGTCGTGCTCCCGCTGCAGCGCTGGCCTCATCTCCGCGCTTCCGCTCGTTCCGAATCCCATGCTCATGCTACGACATCCGAGTGTGCGAATAGAGAGGGGATCTACGCCATGGTAAGGGATGGGAGGGAGGGGCAGGACGTCAGATATGACGCGAGCGTACTTAGCTTGCCCTTGCCCCCTCATCGTCCCCCTCTCCTCCGCGCGCCCCTGTCGTTCGTCCGTCGTCCGTCGTCCCCGTCGTCGTGTCGCGACGTCTCCCTGCACTCTGCCGCTGGGCTCGCTAACCAAAAAGTGTGTGCTTCGAGGACACACGGATTCTCGGCCCAGGATGGACCCGGCCAGGATCGTCGGGCGTGTGGTAATGGGGGGTGACCTTCATGGGGGGTGAAGAAAAGAGCCCTGAAGGGGCGCTCTAGGGCCACCTTTGGAGCCGGCGGGGGCCCAAACGGGGCCCTGAGATCCCCTTCAGGGCCCGTTTCTTCACCCCCCATTGGGGCCACCCCCCGTTAGCACCCGCCCGAGTGTGTAGCTGGCGTCCTCCGGCCTACGGCGGGACGCACTGCTGCTCCCACTCGTGCTGCAGCGTCTGCCGCAGCCGCACGGCGGCGATGCACTCGCACGGGTTCTCCGCGCGCCGCGCGGAGAGCCAGGCGAGGAGCGGCTGCACGGAGGAGGAGAAGCCCTCCTTCACGTACTGGGAGGCGTCGTGGTAAACGAGCCTGAGGGGCAACGATTCGAGCTGGGGATCGACTGCAGATTCGACTTGCCCCAGAATCGATTTCCTCGTCGGGCCTGCGAGAAAGGCGTGCCGCTTCTTTCATGGGCCCGACGAGAACCATACTCTGGGGGGAAATCAATCTCGTTTTTTTTATGGGCCTGATGAGAATCATATTCTGGGGGGAAATCAAGTCTACATTGTCGGGACGCATCGACTTGGAGCCGGCGACGCACCGCCGAGACATCGGCGAGGGGCCCCCGAGAGTGGCGCCGCGCCCGTCCCCGGGCAGGGGGGGGGGGTGCGGGGCCCCCCAATTCGGCGATCGGTGGGCGAGCGGGGGTCGACGCGTCCCGCCCGGTGCCCCTCCCTCCCCGTCCCCAGACGTCGGGCGTCTCGAAAAAATCAAGGCGGAGGCTTTTCGTAGCTTTCGGCCTCTCGGGGCCCTCGCCGGGCCTCGGGGCCGTCAAAAAACGGCTCGGGAGGACAAGCCGGGTCCCACAGGGAAGTGGTCGGGAGGTCGGGGGCCCGCGCCTCGAAAACATCGAGACGCCGGACGTCTGGGCTCCTTGCCCCCGAGAGCCAGTCCCCCCAGTGCACCCGCCGGAGCGCCTGCCAGATGATGTACGGCTTCCAGGCCCCCCCGCGGCGGAAGTTGGCCCGGCGGTGGGCCCGGAACCACTCGCCGTGCCGCCCCTCCGCGAAGGAGGACGCGGTCCAGCGCCAGTGCTCCTGCAGATCCGCCGCTGCGGTGCTCTCATTCCGCGGCCCCAGGCCCTGAGATCCGACGCTGCGACAAAAAACGACGTCGCAAAAAGTCACGCCAGGAACCCCGGACCCCATCTTTCTGCGTCACTCTTCGAGCCGGATCGATCTGTGAGGGTCCCGGGCCCCAAAGCGGAGCGACAGCGCCCGCTGTGAAAAAATCGCGACGCCAGGATCTTAGGGCTACGATGCTTTCGATCCGCGGCCACAGCGGCTCGGACCGCTGCCCTGGGGCAAGTCTTTCGCCCCGGATTCATTCTTGACAGCCCCGCGGTTCGAGAGCCAGCCCCAAGGAGGCCGAAATCTCGCCCCCTGCGTGCGCCGTCCTGGCCTTCTTCCGAAGGGACCCCCCCACCACCCCAAAGTCCCGACCGCTTGCCCCTGCCTCCTCCCTCCTCCTCCTCCTCCTCCTCCTCCTCCTCCTCCTCCTCCTCCTCCTCCTCCTCCTCCTCCTCCTCCTCCTCCTCCTCCTCCTCCTCCTCCTCCTCCTTGCCGCCTCCGCCTCCGCCTCCGCCTCCTCCTCCTCTCCTCCTCCTCCCTCCTCCTCCTCCTCCTCCTCCTCTCCTCCTCCTCCTCCGCACCTCTTCCTCCTCCCTCCTCTCCTCCTCCTCCTCCTCCTCCTGCTCCTCTTCCTCCTCCTCCTCCTCCTCCTCCTCCTCCTCCTCCTCCTCCTCCTCTCCTCTCTTCCTCCTCCTCCTCCTCCTCCTCCTCCTCCCCTCCTCCGCCGCCTCCGCCGCCTCCCCGCCTCCGCCTCCGCCTCCGCCTCCGCCGCCTCCGCCTCCGCCTCCGCCTCCGCCTCCGCCGCCTCCTCCGCTTCCTCCTCCTCCTCCTCCTTCTCCTCCTCCTCTCCTCCTCCTCCTCCTCCTCCTCCTCCTCCTCCTCCTCCTCCTCCTCCTCCTCCTCCTCCCCTCGGGCTGACTCTCCAGCCGGACCTGCTCCTTGACGGCCCGGGGCCCGTCGAGGGCCCCCAGGTGCCGAAGACGGTGAAGAATGGTCGTCGCAGCATGTCTTCCAGCGCCAGCAGGTCTGGGAAGGAGAGCCGCCCGGATGGAAGACAAACCTATCCCCTGACTTCGGGTTCGCCGTACTTTGGGTGATTTGCGGACTCGCACTTGTATCGGACACGTTTACAGCACTTCGCTGGTGGCAGTCTGAAACTGATTTTGCTTTTACTCACTCGCGTACCTCGTCGACCCACCTGTGCGGCTCCGCTCTGCTTTCCCTTACTGTACCTAGTCGGCCCACACCTGGACGGCTCCCCTGCGCGTACCCTTGCGTTCCGCGTACTGGGCCTCGTCAGCGCCCGTGGATGCACCGACGCAGCGGCCCGGCCGCTGTCACGGTCCCCGCTGCCGAGGCTGGCCACGCCAGCGCACTCAGGTTGGAAGTCTTCCGCCCCTGAGTGCCCCCCCTCCTCCCTCCGCCTCTGCGGCCGCCCGTCTGTCTCAGTCCCTCCTCT